TTCCTAAGTCTCATTCATCTTCTTTTTTTTCTTCTACTACCCATGAACAGAAGGTAATGCTGGGACATTAGTCCAAAGCATTCAAATTTCCATTTTTGTCTTTAAAAATTTTGGTTCTTGAAGACCAAGATAAAGGTTTCATTAGCCCTCTATTTACTGTCAGATCCTGCTCTATTTCTTATCTCTTGAGATAACTTATCTTGTTTTTGAGCAAAGCTATGTCTTTTTAATTTCTAAATACAATACATTTCTAAATGTATTTTAAATCTACCGCTGCTATGTATATTCAACAAGAAGGGTAAAATGGTTTAAACTGTGAATTCATAGCTGCTTTTTGACAAGATGTTAAGACATACCATTTTTAAGTCAAAGTAATCTTACTGTAATAAGACTACCAGTGTGTTCCACCCATGGAAATAATCATAGGTTTCTACATTTATCTATAAAGCCTACAAGGACTAAAATTTATAAGACTTAATTTATCCTTATATTTTTCAAAGTATTAAGAGTATGTTAGAAAGCAAATTTTCAAATCAAAGAGTAAAATGATAATATATAATATATGAACCAAAGTATCTGCTTTGGTTTTGAAAACCTGAAAATGACAAAAACTCAGCATTTCATCAGTCACCAAATTATATTATTCCTGATTATTTAATTTACTAATAGCAATATTTTCTACATGGAGGTAAAATTATATGTGTGGTGTGTGTATGTTTTGCTAAAACAGTAAGAGGAAAGAACACAATTATGGTTGGCAATTTTAACACCCCACTCTCAGCAATTCATGTCACTATCAGAATAATAATAAAGGAATAATAGAGAAGAGCTAGATAACACAACCAACCAACAGTATCTAATTGACATATATAGAACGCTCCGCTAAACAACACAGAACACACATTTTTTTCAGGCACCCATGGATGAGTATGAATATTACTTTTTAAAAAAACAACATTGAGCTGAAGCAACAGATAGATTTGGCCTGCAGAGATTTTGGCATTGACTACTCAATCATATTTTTAGGACTGAAATAGGTGGGAAATCTGGTAAAGTCATACTTTATTTGTATAAGTGGGAAAGCACGAACTCTGATGAAACTAAGTCTTTCTTGAATCACCATAATGGACACTCATGGCTCTTCAACAAATTCCTAGTCTTGAACCTGTTATGGAAACTTAGGATGATCCCCTTGAGTACTCTACTGTCTTCTAATAACTCAAACTATAAATCTTCCTCCTAGCTTAATCCAAGAGGACCTGAGCCAATTTATCAGGTGACTGTACCCTGGGAAAAGATAAATAATAATTTTTTCAGTGTTTATTGGATAATGGCTATTCCCTTGGAAGCTAAACTGCTACTATGATCCACCAGGCTAGATAAGGTTTAAGGAAGAGGAATGAGGTCTAATCATTATTGACATTTTGGTTCAAATCAGTCTTACAGTGGGTCCAATATGTACCCAATTACCCAGTGTTTATTTCCTCAAATATAGAAAGCACAATTGGTCAAGACATACTTAGCAACTCGGAGAATCCCCAAATTGGATCCCTGACCTACAACAATTAGGCTTCCTGTGTATTGAGGATGATTAAATAGGAAATGTCAAATGGAGATGTTTAGAACTTATACTCCCACTGAAGTAGTGAAACAAACATAATGGCACATCCTGGAGAGATTGCCAAGGTTTGTATCCTCATTAGAAGTTTAAAGGATTTTAGCACATCCCCTTTCAATTCATCTGTTTGGCCTATAGATAAGGCAGATGGATCTTGAGGAATGAGAGTACACTTTTATAAAATTAAGTGATAACTACAACTGCAGCTATATTTCCAGATGTGTTTGCTTTGCTGGAGAAAATCAATACTGCCTCTTTTCTCCAGTCTGAGCTATAGATCTCAAAAATACTTTTTCTCTGGACTTGTTAAAGTCACCAGAAATAGTAGTGAACTTTAGTATCTCTCCTTAGGGCTCTACCAACCCTCGAGCCATTTTCTACAGTTTAGTCCACTAGGAACTTGTTTGCTTCTCTACTCTACAGGACATCAAGCAAGCCAACGATATAAATAATATATGCTGATTTGACCTGATGAGCAAAACATAGTATACATACTAAATATCTTGTTAAGGTATATGCATGCCAGAGAATGGAAGAATAAACACCACAGAAATCAGAGATACATTATATATGTGAAATTTCAAGGAATTAGTGGTCTGGTGCCTGTCAAAATTTCTCTTATCAAATGGTGAATGTGTTTCTGCATCTGATACCTGCTATCTCTGAGAAGTAGATCTCTAAATTTTGGCTGTAAAAAATAAATGATTTGGGCATCTTACTTCAACCTGTTTACCAAATACCCAATAGGCTGTCAATTTCGGGTCCAGATCAAAAGGAGGTTCTACAACAGAACCAAGCTTCTATTCAATCTGTCTTGCCATTTGGTTCACATGACTCAGCATATCCAGTAGTGCTTGAAGTGCCTATGGCAGATGGGGATCCTAAAGGAACCTTAAGTGAACCTTACAGATAAAACATAGTATATCTTTTTGGTATTTTGGAGAAAAGTTATACTTTCTCACCAGATTATTTTCAACTGAGAAATAGCTTCTGCCTCATTACTGGGTCCTGCCTGAGTGCAAACACTTACTACTGTTGCTGCTGCTAAGTTGCTTCAGTCGTGTCCGACCCTGTGAGACCCCATAGACAGCAGCCCACCAGGCTCCCCCGTCCTTGGGATTCTCCAGACAAGAACACTGGAGTGGGTTGCCATTTCCTTCTCCAGTGCATGAAAGTGAAAAGGGAAAGTGAAGTCGCTCAGTCGTGTCCAACTCCCAGAGACCCCATGGACTGCAGCCTACCAGGCTCCTCTGTCCATGGGATTTTCCAGGCAAGAATACTGGAATGGACTGCCATTGCCTTCTCCAGCAAACACTTACTACCGGTCATTAAATAATGATATGCCCTGAAACATTCTTAATGAATAGGATGTTGTATGCCCCAAAAGCTCACTGTAGCAGTATTCCATCAAGTGGAAGTAATAGTTAGGCTTTTCTCCACAAGTTTTGAAGTCACAAATAAGTTGCACAAAAAGTTGCTCAAACATCCATGGTTCGCGTACTCCTGCTGTACTGCCTCCTCTCTCTCTGTAATGTGAAGTTGTCTATGAAAACAGAATGATAAAGCACAATTTGGTCTTTATTCACAGACATTTCCCCACACTATCCTGACAGTAGCTGAAGTGGACAGTTGCACTACACATGTGGCCCTGAAAGACCCTGAAAGTGGTAAAAAAAAAAAAATCTTCAATGGGAAAAACTTCAAGCTTTCATACTGCCTGAAAGTAGAGGTGAATAGAGGTATACATCTACAATGAGTCAAGACCAGTGACTAACAGTTTGGCTGGATGGCCAGCAACTAGGAAGAAACATGAAGAAATATGATCTACAGAAGACGTATGTGGAAAGACCTCTCCAAATGGGTATAAATAAGAGAACATTTTTGTCCCACACAAAAGTTCACCAAACAGCAACCTTAAAGGAAGAGACCTTAATAAACATATGCACAAGGTAACTCATTCTTTTCCCATTCTTTTATTCCCATAATTGATCAATTGGCTCATGAAGACAATAATTATATAGAAATATGGAGCTTATGTATGGGCTTAGCAAAATGGATTTCTACTCATCAAGGCCAATTTGTCTAAAGTCATTGCTGAGTATCCAACCTGCCAAGAGCAAAGATCAACACTGAGCCCCTAAAAGGGCCATACCCTGGGGAACTAGCCAGACACCTGGTAGCAGGTTTGTTACACTGAATCACTCCCATCATTGAAGGAGTAGCTCTTTGTTCTCACTGGAAAAGACATGGTTTTGCCTTTCCTACCCTAGTGTTTCTGCTTAAATCACCATCTGTGGGCTTACAGAATGCCATATTCATCTTCACAGTATTCCATACAACATTGTTTCTGACAAAAAAAAAAAAAAACAATTTTGTAGCAAGTGAAGTGTAACACTGGTCTCAGTCTCATGCACTTGTCTAGTGTCATTATGTTCCCTTCATCCTGAAACAGCTGGCCTAATAAAATTAGGAATGGCCTTTGGAAGACTCAGTTATGGCACCAGCTGGTGACAGCACTTTATGGGGCTGAAATAATGTCATCCAGGATGTAAGAAATGCTTTGAATAAGCTATAAATATGTAGTGATGTTTTTCCTATACTCAGAATTTAGGAGTTTAGGAACCACAGGACAGATATGGAAACAGCTCCATTCACATTAACAATAATGATGCAAAAACAACACTTTCATTTCCTTTCCCTGTAACTTTTTGGGGGTTTAGAAGTTGTACTTCCAAAGGGAGAAATGATTCTACCAAAGAATACAGCATTGTACTAGAACATAAGACTACTACTAACTGGCTACTCTGGGCACCTCAGAACACTGACACAAGAAGAAAGGGTGAGGAAGATATTTCCAGAATGCAGGAGATCCTCCAGAGTATTGCTTAGTCTTCCCATATTTTGTGGTAAAAGTTAATGGAAAGCTAGAACAACCCAATAAATACAGGACTATAACAACAGAGAGGAATGAAGATTTGGGTCATCCCAGCAAATAAGGAAACACAACTGACTTACACACTAGCAGAGTAGACAGAATACGAAATGGGGAATGGGAAGTGTTATAAATATTACTGATTCCATGACTAGTTGAAAACATGAGGGCACTGATAGGAGCATTTATTTCTTCCTTGCTTCAAAGTGTCTCTCATTTCCTTATTGTAACATAAGATTTACTAATAGTGGTTATAACGGTACCTCAGGATGATAGGATATTCAAGGGGGGTTCTGACTCAGTCAGAAGAGGAATGAGCACCCCTCAAACATGGGTAAGTCACTTTGTATCCTCTCTTATGAAGGGACATACATGTTTTCATTGTACAAAGAATCAATTTTAGGTGAAATAATTACGTTTTACCTTTATTGGGAAGTAAATATGGTTAGTATAAGTGCCATATTGACCAGGGGCGCACTGGACTACTGGACTTGCTGATCAGCTGTAGTTGCAGGTCTATCACCTGGTACCTGCTTGCAGACCCAGTATTAGAAGCTGTGCAGAGGCATTAACTTCCTTTATACCTCCTTCACAACACCTTTCCTTGGAACCATTTGAGTGACTTGACATGCTAGATCTCACAGATTTCCTGAAAATTTCTACTTCTCTTGAAAGGACCACTTGTCTACCCATACCAACACTTGGCAGATTAGTTAGTAACTCCCTGATTTGCCTATTTCCCTTCACCAAACTTTATCTTCCCAGCTCCTTATGTATTCAGTCAAATTTCTAAAATACCTCCCTAATTTATAAAATAACTTTCTATTTTATAATATAAAAATAACTCCCTAACGGTACTCTTTTCCTGGTTGAATACTGACTGATAAATGTAGCATAAACATAAATCTCATTTGCTGCTCATTTACTCCATATACCCCTCAAAAGAATTTTAAAAAAACCCATGTACAATAATATATTATGAAATTATGGCTCACCTATGAAATGAGCAATCAAACAGCAACAAAGAAACTGGACCTAACATTGTTTATTTCTCTAGTGATATCTGCCTTTGCAGTTCCAGGTTCACTAGAAGTGGATTAAATGCAATTACAGTATTCTTCTTTATGTTCCTCTAAATTCTCTATGAAACTTTTGCCTTCTATTCCCCCTTAGAGTCATTTTTGTTATATGCTAGTTCTTTAAACATTTTCATTTCTCCTACTTTTAAAAATATTTCTCAAAGAACCTGATATTGCCACCATAGTCATTTAGTGTCTTATGCCTCTTTGCTTATATCCCAAGTTTTAGAATCACTCTTGGTATATGGCACTCAGAACTGAACACACCACTTAAGCTAATATCTGAAGAACTGATATTTCAGAGTACATGGCACCATCATCTCCCTCCTTTTACATACATTTTTCCTATTAATGTAACCTAAATATCAATTGAACTTTTAGAACAGCCATGTTACATGGTAATCTCACAGTACATTTACCAATAAATAACATTACTTTTTTTCTCAAAAACTTGTTGCAAACTCAGGTCTCTCTTGCTTCTTATCTATGTGTATACAGTTGATTTTTTTAACCCTAAGGTCTTGAATGTTATATCAACTCACTGCAATAGGAGTTACAGTCTAAGAATCAATCAGTTAAAATTTGATTCTGTCAGCCGAAAAATTAGTTGCCATTCACAGATGAGTGCAGTCCATGAATAAGATAACAATGAATTGTATATCTTTATTTCTTCATCTGACAGAATTTTTATAAAAGGTCAAGAACAGGATCCTAAAACACTTGCTGCTTGACTCGGATTTTTCTAGTCAACATTCTTTAGCACACTTGCTCAACTCTTTATATTTCCTGCTAATTATCAATATCTAGTCCATTTTTTATTGAACTTGTTGCTAGGATGGATTTTAACATTGGATATTTTTAAAAAACATTTTGACATAGACGTTTTGAAAAGACCACATTTGTGTACCTATTTTAAAACTATTAATGTTCTCATGAGACTACGTCACATGGTCATTTTGACTTGAGGATACTATGACACAGTCTTAAAAAATTAAAATGTCACTTTTTAAATTACCAGTTAGGCAAAAATGAGAAATAAGACATCTTCATAGTTCTCATACTTATCATCCTATTTTCCCCTGAACCCCTGATCATTAGCATGGAGTTCAGAAAGGGGAAATGACAATGAATTTTTCTCATTTGAGTAATATTTAGTAAGCAAAAACCAACAAAGGATACTTCTTTTAATGTTGGGCACAGTTGCTCTGAAGTGTTACATCAAAACAGCTTCAATTTTACAGGACATGATGCCAAATAATTAAATGTACAGTTTTGCAGCGCAGGCATCAATAATGAGATTATTTGGAGATGTGTGGTGATGGGAAGAATGAATCTGAGCGAGAACCTTTCCCTAAAGGATGAGCATCTATGCTTAAGAGTCAGGCTGCCCTGAGTAGACCTTTGACTTTATGAAGCTGATGATGCTTCATCTCCTCTTGTGCTTGCCAGAATAATTCTATTTACACTGGTATATAAGCTTCTCTTATATTCTGAAAACTTTTTAATTTCAAAGACAAATAAATATCTACGGAACATGCATTTTAAAAGAGTTGAATGGATAGGCCACTTTGTAAATTTTTTTAGTTCCAAGTTCACAGATAGGAATCTCTAGAGGGGAAGGTCTTAAAATCCCCAGTATCTTTTTGTTTCAGCAGTAGTTGAAGGGGAAAATAGCATATTTTACTCACATGCTCTTCAGCTGTTCCCCTAACTCTAACCCATTTTCACAGAATAGCTAGATGACAGCTGACACAATGAGGCCTATGCATTGAATCAGAGGAATTCCAAATGATCAACCCCAGGAATAGGATTGGGCAATAACTCTGATCCATAACCATGAGGAAACGAGGGTGATCTCCACACAAGACTCCACTCAAGCAAACAAAAGGTTCCTCTTTGCCCACCTTTTTCACCATAGATCTTGGAGTTGTTTACCTCTCAGACAAATGGAATGGACTTGCCTAAACATACGACATGGAAATAGGTATTCTCCTTCTTCCTTCCCATCCTTAATTAGTGGTTTAGGAGTTCATACCTCAAGCTGCATGGATGAGCATAAACCTCAAGATTACACAGAACTCACTGATGTACCAACATTGTCAAATACTGCCACCACTGGTTGATGGGTTGGTTTTGTATACATGGGTAACAGTCTGTGAGCAGCTTAAGGGCAGGTCTCATATCTTATTCACCTCTTTATCCTCTGGTCTAGCACAATGCCTGGCACAAAGTAGGTGCTTAATAAATAGTTGTTGAATAAACTAGTATTTTTATCTTTCATTTAATTCAGTCAGTGAAAAACTTGAGCACCTATTTATGTACCAGATACTCTAGGAAGCTGTGAGTGGACAAACAGGCATGAATCCTTCCTTAGACTTTATAGTCTAATTTAAACTGGTAAAGTAACTTCCACTCCTAACAACTGACAATAGCATTTTAACATAGGGATGGACGATACTACTGCCAAACCTCAATCTTCTCACATTCAAGTTAGTGGTTGGACAAAATGTTCTGTAAGATTGTTTGCGTTCTAAACTTATTGTAAAGGGTATGAAATGTATAAAGTACTATGTAAATTAACTTAAGTTTTAAAATTATAAAACAGTTTTAAAAATTTGAAAACTGTCCCAAATGGACTTTCTCCCCAGTTCAAAAGGCAAAAGGATACATGCACATCATCATATAAACCACATAAAGAATCCAGCAACTCTAGCACTGTTATGTTGTTGTATCAGATCTCTATTGTATAATGTAACTTCTTTGAGAACATTTTACATTTGGTATCCTCTATAGGATCTAGCACTTTTAAAATAACATTCAACAAATGAATTAATGTAGTGGAAATACCTTAAAAATCACCAAGTATTCTAATCTGAATGGCATTTAGTAGATTCAAGAATCCCAAGAAATTGTACTCAAAACTGTCTGTAAACCACTTTGCAGAGTTCTTTGGTTTTATCAGTCTCAAAGAGATCTACCATCCAAAATGGTCCCTTCATTTAGTATATATTAATTGAATATCAACTACTTGCCAAGCATTATACTATGATTTAGGCTTGGAATCTAAAACTTTTTAAATAAATAATGAATATTAACTGTATCAAATCTTTATAAGATCTGCTTTCTCACATTCACACCATTAAAAATAATGCATACTCTATTACACATTTACATCCTAAATCAGCATCAGATTCTATGCAGTTATTTAATATGATATTTGCTGGTAAAATATACTTTAGAGATATATTCTCATCTGGCTCAATGGAAAAGTCTAAATGATGATAGAACCAACAGAGCTTAAGTATATAATATACAGACAGATAGATAGATACACAAGTATATATAAACACACACATACATACACACATACACTTAATTTAAGAAATCTTTAGTAAATAATGCTGTCAAATTCTTTTAACCATCTCTAATTCATCAACTATTTTACTCCACAGCTGGATTTCCATTTATTCCTATCAACAGAATAGAGCTCCAATCCTTTAAAAGATAAATGATGGCATATAAAGAAAATTTCCTAAAATTTTTTTGTTCTCAGGGACTTCCCACTGACTAAAATAAATAACTCAAATTCTCTAGATGGAGAACAAAAGTACTTTTAAAATCTCAAGAAAACCTTTAAAATTTAATGATAATTTTTCCCCTTGGAAAACTTTTATCTCCTCAGTGCATTAAGCATTATCTATCTAGAGTCATTTAATATTCATATGAGCAACCATTTAAGTTTTCTGAATAAAATGATTTTTACCTTTGAGAATGGCTGCCATAGTCTTGCCACAAACATATGGAAAAGGTTATTTCCCCAGATAAAAGCATAAGCCTACTTAAAGATTTAAATCCTCATCCTCATTAGCTGTTCATTTTATAATATTAAAATTCAATATAGCATGATCCAAAATAAGCATTTCCAAAAAATGGTTACATCATACTATTAGGAACCATTTGTATCTAATTTCTACATGCTACCAGAACTTAGCTGCAATTAGTGATAGTGGCCAGGAGATGGAGCATTCTCATTTCCTAAGATTTACTTCACAGACCTTTGTTTAACTCACAAAAAGTTTCCTTTAAACAGAAATGTTTTATTAATGGCACTTATCACCAATGGCAGATACGAATGAAAAACAAGGCATTCAGAAAAAAATAAGGACTTAAACTTCTCAAAAGTTTTACTAACTACTAATCATTTATATGTGAATAAAATACTTTAAAATACTTTGAATACCTTTCATCTCTCTTGTGTACAAGAAACAGAAGGAGGAAAAAAAGTTTAGAATAATATTTAGAATTATCTCAATTTTTCAATTCTTACTTCCGGCTCATTTTATATAATGCTAGACTGCTTCATAATGTATAATTATATGCTCCATTTTTTCAATGAACTAAAAACAAGTATAGTTTTAAATTAGGAATTTACAACTGATATCTTAGGGAGAAAATTCATTAAAGTAAAAATATTTCCTGAAATGGTTTTATTCAAGGCACACATGATGTTTAAATGTTTCTTTCACTTAATAAATGCTAACAAAGAGTCTTTAGATCTCAAATCTATTACATCGCTTGTAAAAAAAAAAAAATAGCATTTTTAAAGACTGATAATCCACTCCCATACATAGTGAACACATTAATAGATGTGGGTATGTGAGTTGTAGTGCATGCTTCTAGAAATACTCCAGAAAGGGAGGTAGGCAGATGCATTACAGGTTACTCTGATTTGGCCTGGAATACAGTCTGCCACCAGTTACTGAGTCTTTGATGGGAAGGTAAGAAGAATCCCTAATCATTCCTGAAAAAGCATAATCCAAAGCTGGCCTACAAGGCAATGCTGGTACCAACCCAGAAGTCAGATAGGGAGACATGAAACCAGACAGCCCTCTCCCTGGAGAGGAATATGCCAGCCGAAATGGACTGATACCTAGTCTAGGATTTAAGCTGTAGAAACTTGAATCACTTCCGTAAGAAGCAGAAGAAGTGTGAAGGGGAGAGAAAGCTGATTTATTTCCTAGAGTTCCAAAACCAATTCCAGCTAAACTAAAATTCGAAACTCTCGGAAAAGCTGTGTTTTCCAATGGTCCTGAATTTGCTAGGTCCCTGGTGTCTGGTTTGTGTTCTTTTCCATTTAGGATCTCTTCAATAGCTTGGACCACATCCCCTTTGCAGAACTGCAGAATGCCTTCTAGCCTGCTGCGTCTGTAACTTGGGAAAATCTTGGTAAGGATATCAAGAGGGTCTCTTGGTCTAGAGGACACAGTGGAATGGCTGGCTGTAGAATCAGTGAAGTCTTTGGCCCACTCACTTTCATTTCCTGATTCCAAATCAGAGGATGACAGGGACCTGGGACTCTCTTCCCCTCCTGACTGCTCCCCAGGATGAAGAGACTGAATGCTATCATCCTTGTTTGGGTTTTCTGAAATAGATGACCTGATGTTTTGTTTTCCAGCGACATCATTAGACTTAGGAGATGATCTCAGGGTAAACTGATGGGATTTAGACACCAGTTCTTCTTGTCCACTCTGGCATGAGTCACATTTACTCTCCTTTTGTCCTGGGGAAGAGGAAAAAAAGGAATGAAATAAAGGGAAAACTTCCAAGAACAAAGTACTGCCCACTTATAATTAATGCTGGATAAAATAACTTGTTTACTCATAGTATATTAATAATACTTATTATTCACTGTAAAAGATGTTAATGAACAAAAATTTTTAAATATCATTTGAAAATGCAGGTGTTGCAATAGTGGGAAAATGCAATTTATCATGTCATTTCAGGATCACAAAGTTCTATAATATATAAATGCTGTAGTTATTTAGGAATCAGAAGGTGAAATCTATTGCTACCCTCCAACTGTTAACGCCAATATTTTATATTATTTGCCCCATTTAGGGATTCAAAATTTTCATAAATGTTACACAAGTTTTGTTGTTATCCACATGAGGGCTTTTTTCCCACAGTGGCAATATGCAAACAGCACTAAATAAAACAATTGTTTAGATAAGAAATCAGAAAAAAAGAACAATCTTACTATTAAAATGAATATTCTATTTAATCACTAATGCTAAATTTCAAAAACTGGTTTTTTACTCACATTTCAGATTCCAACTAAGGTACCTGACTAATGTGAAAAAATAGCAGAATTTTTCATTTCCTTTCAAATCTAAACCAATAATGACAACTGCTATACCAATCTCAAATCATATCAGAGCTTGTATATTTCATTTAATGTGAGACACAATAGAGAGTTGATATTTTTCATAATCCTCTGTAAAATATGAACTTTCTCATTAAATCTCTAGAGAATATCAGTAAATGAGTTTATAATCAAATTGTTTCTAAAAGAAAATAATTTACAGCACTCTTTTCACTACTGGAATCTGTTTATTTTTCAAAGTATCTTGTAAAAATATTAGTCATTTACCTTAACTAACAACTCCCTTTCAATATTAAGGGGAATGTTCTGAAAACAATTTCACAGAAAAATATGATTTTCTATCTCAAAATATTAAGCATATGAATATTAATAAAACAAGAATATCTTTAAATACTTTTTGCAAGGCTAATGCCAATAATAAATAATAAAAAATCATTTTTATTTTTATTTACATTTACTCTTAATCTATAGATGGAGTTTCTCTATTTCCATTAGAAAGAGTAAACTGTCAATGAGGTACTAGGTTTTATTGCCAACTTTCTCTTCAAACAAGATTTATGAATGTAAGAAAACACATATGACCTATAGCAATGATTTGCAATGCTCCTATGTTTTCTCAAAGAGCAGTCCTATATTTTAAGCAAATATCTATAATTTGCTTTATAAAATTAAATGTGTACAATTTAACACATTGAGAATGAAAATGCTGTCATTACGTCAAACATGACAAAGAAAAAAAGTGCTGCTTCTGCAAAATCACAAAGACTCTAGAATTTTCACCTTTAAATAAAACTAAAAGTCATCTAATGATATAGAGATAGATCAACCTTGGTCTGCCACTCCATTTTATTTATAAATATAATTCATTACATATGACCCCTTGAACATGTAAGGTATCACAATTTCATCTCTAGAGTAATTTTCATCTCTATAGTAATTTATGCATAAAACACAATATAATGTAATGAAATACTGATGGCATCAGACTGTCTAGAAAATAAGCTGTCTTTAAAATACTACAATATTGTTATGTCATCTCTTTTCTCTCAACTCCTATAGCTGGTTTTTATCATTGTATGCTATGTATTATGCTGTAGTTTTAGGACACATAGTTTTCCTTCTTTAGAATATAATATTCTTTTGTGTAGGAAAATCTTATTCACCTCTGAACCACTGTGTCTAATGAATAAATACACTAGTTTACTACAGTTCATGGATATTGTATAGAAGGCAGTCCATTTAGAAGTGTCTTTTCAAAAAAAAGAGGTCAACTGAGGCAAACAATAAAATGAAATAAATGATCCTATAAAACATCACCCCCTCAAAAAAATCACATAAGTCAATGCCTAGCAGAAGGTTGACAGATCTCACTGTCAATTTAGTTTGCAGACTTTTAATTTTTACTTCTTTTTATAGCAGTTTTGCTTAAGAATTTTATTCTTCAGCCCTCCTTGATTTTTGATGAGAAATGTTTAAACTACATTTTGTCCACTGACACAAACTAGAACATGGACAAAAAGTGACATAGGTGAAAACAAAATCATATACGTCTTATTTAAGTAGAGAAAGAGTCTTTTTCAAAAGTAAATGCTGTGATCTGTTAAGAGCTGCAATTTTCACAATTCAGGGAAGTTTTCTAATAGATAACTTAGTACAATCATTATATTTTAATTTCATATGATTCAACCCATCTTGTATTTATACAAAAACACCAAAATGACCTTTTTGTGCAAGCATGACCTACTGTAGAATTATGAAATTTGCTAAAATACAGTTAAGATTTATGTTAGCATGAAAGGTTAATTTGGGATAACCCTAGTCAAAAAAAGAAATCTTTTTACCTGACATAGAGGGTGAAGGCAATTTGCAGTCAATAAATAAGAGAAAAAAAATTAAAACTTCTTGGATAAGAAATCTCAAAGGTTAAGATCCCCAAAGATAAGAAATTCTTGGACTTTGAAATTCATATCAATGGTTTTACAAACCTAAATTTAGAAAACCTAAATTTCTTTCCTATAAGAGGTATAACTTGAAATGTTAGAGTTTTCTACACTGTTGGAGGCTAAAAAGCTGCTGAAGAAAAGACGTGGAATGCTTAAAAATTTTTAAAGAGTAAAAATGTTTTGGTAGATTTCAGTCTCTTCCCCACTTCTAGTCGGTCTGTCCCACAGGTGAAGACTGTACTCCCAACCACACGTGAGTTTTCCATGCAAGATCACATTAACTCTGGTTTTACAGCTAAAAAGAATACAGAGCAAGCTCAAAATGCAGTTTCTTTCACTAAGTTTTTCACTATCTATAGCTCTAAGTTCGTCTCCTCTCGCAGAGAAACTTGGGCACAAACTGCAATCCTAGAATGAGTTCCTCAACTGATCACTGGCACTTCATTTGTTCATTTATCCTATCACTTAAGGGACAGAAAGCCCCACGGAAGTGAATGTGATAGGTCTCTAAGCAGTTTCCCAGAACTTAAATGCTTCTTTTAAGTTCTTTCTTGCCCTCCTCCATGCCATGGCTGCTTATTTCAAAGATTTTATTTTTCTTCCTCCAAAACAACCATTTTTCTTTTGCAAAGAGCAAATGTAAGATCTACTCACCTTGTTTTTCCTCTATATAATCTGGCTGGAAAATTTCGAAAACAGGGGTCGCCAGACCACTAGCCTGTCTCGAGGCACTCAGTCGCAGAGCAGTCACCGTCGCAGGGCCGCTCGAGGCCGTCTGGGAAGTCTCCATTCTGCTGCTGCCTCCGGATGACCGAGCCCCTGGTCCTAAGGATCCAGGGTACAGAAGCCGTTGCAGCCCCCGAGCCTCGCTCTCCTCTTGGGCCTGCTGTCTGCGCAGCGCCACCTGTGCGGCCATGACACGCTGGCGCTCTGCGATCAGGGTGCACTTGGCACACGCGCAGTCCCGCCAGCGGCAGAAGCGCTTGTGGCCCTTGAGGGCTGACACCACTCCGTGGTTGCGACAACGGGCGCACTTGGGTGTCCGTGGGTAGCCACCGGCCACAGCGCCCACCCCTCTTTCCAGTTCGGCAGGCGGGCAACCTCCGCTTCCGGCGGTGGAGGCTGCCCTCAGAAAGAGGCTGGACGGTCGCAGGAAAGTTGGAGGAACTGGTATCCCCGGGGGTACCGGTAACGCCGCAGACGGGGACGGAGGAGCCGCTACCACCAGTCCCGGGGCCAGGTGGGGTGGGCCGCTGCGGCTGCGGTCTCTACTGCCGCACTGTGACTGCTCCATTTCCGAGAAGTGTCTGGTGAGGGAGGAGTTGCGACAGAAGAGTGCGCTGTCCGCAGCTAACCCTGCTGGGATGCGGGAGCCGAGAGGGCCAACCTTGGTCCCTCTACCTACCACCCCCACACCGACAAAGTCTGACACAATTCCCGCGATGAACTGGCAACAGCCGCTTCCCAGAGCTGGAGACTCTAAGAGGCGCAGAAGTCCACGGAGCCTCTTAGAGTCCCAGGGCGCTAAGTTAATGCCTTGTTTTCCGCGCGCCTTCGCCTTCGGAAGCAAGAGGAGGCAAGACTTGCAGAGGCTACCCCGCCCACTGGATCTGCTGGCCAAGGGCTGAAATTGGGGAGGGAGGGCCGCGGCGGGACCAGACCGTCTGGGAGGAGGGGTGGTGGGAGACACAAGAGACTGCCCCTTCACACACTCGCACAAAAGCCCTTTTCTCCCACTTGCTTCTCCATGAATTCCTCAATGTATGTTTTTTTGTAAGATAATCTTCTCTCCCTCCCCATGCCTCTTTGTCCTTCGTAAATTAAGCAAGATTTGGAGTTCTTTCCCCAGTTCCTAGCTCCTCCTACGATAGTGTGAAGATTTGAACATGGAGTTCAGTTTCTTTCCTTTTCCCAGATGAAGTGTTTAAGATGGTGTGTGTGCTCAGTCACTCAGTCGTCTCCGACTGTTTGCGACCCCAAGGATTGTATAGCCTGCCAGGCTCCCCTGCCCGTTGGATTTTCCAGGCAAGAATACTGCAGTGGGTTGTGATTTCCTTCTCCAGTTTAGAATGGTAGCACAGTCAATATTAATGAGAAAGCACAAACAAGCTGCAAATATTACCCACACCTGAAAGATACCTTATTTTAGGGCCTTAGGGCTGCGTCAAAACAGTGGATAAGTATTTAAGGGGCCTGATTCACGTTCAGAATCTTCTCATGCATCTGTTTATTTAGAGATGTAAATTTGGATTCTATATACCATATGTTGAAATATTATCATTCAAAGAAACCCTAATGAATTTCTTATCTAGAACTACTTATAGGTAGCAATTATGTTAAAACTTTCAAAAATACTTCACATTTCTATTGTAAAATGTGAAGTATGTGGTCTAGATGACCATTCTTTAAACATGCTATTATTAATTGCATACTTAAAATATGCACTTAATGCCTTTAATTGTAAGAAAAGATCATATTGCTTTTAAACCAAAAGGCAATTTAAAGCAGGAAAGTAAAAAATAAATAAATAAATAAAAAATAAAGCAGGAAAGTCATGAGTGTGTTCCTTAATGGAAAGGAGAGTCAGGGTTCTATCAGTTTCTCCAGGTAATATTCAACTGCCTTGACAGGCAATTCATACTCTAGTACTAAGATAGCAAGTAATAATGAAATTTTTCCCATTCCACTTATTGACATCCAGAGAAGACATTGCTAATCAGTCTGGGCTTTCTCTTACCCTCCCACTTCACACCAACACCACCATTACCATCCTCCCATATAGGCATCCTGATAGTCTATCATAGAACTTCCCCACCCTTCTTAAGTATTAGAACTACCTAGGGAACTTACATAAATACTCTAAACCAAGTATTCTGATTCTTTTCACTCTGAGTCTTTTAAACTCTCAAGGTGAAGATTATATATAACCAAGGTTTAGAACTGCCACTCTGGGAATTCCTAACCTCTGTGGAATCTATAATACCCAATTTTCTCAGACTTCTATATCTTTGCTCAAGCCTCTCCTGCCTAAAAGCTATTTATTCCCCTATTGTGGAACTCACATCAAATGTATGACTAATGAGTTTTCAGTGCTATATGGATCATTAAAGCACAGTGAATTACCTAGTGAGAAAACAATTCCTTTTTTCTATTATTTTTCAATGATCTTGATTACATAATGGAAAATGCTCAGCTTGGTGTAAATATGACTATCATATGCTAAGCTGTATCAATTATGCTTTAAAAAAATTAAAGCACCTCAACAAGTAACACTGTTTACCTGGAATTTGACACTATTTTTCTGTGTTTATTTTATTTTCAGTTATCTTCCCACTATGGCAAGTGATATTGATTTTCATCCAAATAAGTGAAAAAAATTCTTAAAGTAAACATATTTAAATAAAATGTGTCTATTGAAATGGAAAATGACAAAATGTGTGAAAAACTAAAAACAAACCTTGTTGATAAAAAAAAATAAAGGAAATTGAAATAAATTGAGAGAGAGACAATTTCCATGGCTCAGAAGATTCAACATTCTTAAGATAGTTCTACCTAAATTGATCTATAGATCAATTCAACCTCAATCAAAATTCCAACAGACTTTTTTAGTAGAAATTGTCAAACCTGCTCCAAAATTCATTTTGAAATGCCAAAGAAAGACCTAGAATAGCCAAAACATCTTTGAAGAAAAAAGGATAAATAAAGTTTCAAGGCTAACAGTATCTTACTTCAAGAAGTATTATGAAGTTATAAAAACAGTGCATTAGTGGTAAAAAGATAGAAAAATCAACCAATATGGCAGAATAGACAGTTTTAGAAATAGACTCACCCAAAAATAGACAACTAATTTTAGACAAAGGTGTAAAGACAATTCAGTGGAGAAAGGACAGTTTTTTCCCAACAAATAATGCCAAAAAAATTGAACATCTGTTTGCAAAAAAAATGTTTATCTTTGATCCATACCTCATAGTTATATACTCAAAATGGATCACAGACCTAAATATAAGTCATAAAATCATGTAACACAGGCGAATACCTTTGTGATCCTGGTTATGCAAAAAATTCTTATCTACACCACCAAAAATATGATTCATAAAAAGAACAAATCAATAAATTTTACTTTATCAAAGTTAAATACATTTCTTCTTCAAGAGGCACTGTTAAGAAACTGAGAGAAAATAGTTGTAATACATATATCTGTTAAAGGACATGTATACAGAATGTATATTCAAAACTCAATAAGAAAAAAATATTTTAAGTGATTTCAACAAACAAACATGTCACCAGGGAAGATATATGGATGGCAAATAAGCACAACAAAAGATGTTGGACACCATTAGTCACTAAGAAAATGCATATTAAACTTACCATGAAGTATCACTACACATCTATTAGAATGGCTAAAATTTGGAAGATTGACCATATCAAGTATTGATGAGAATGTGGATAATAAGAACTTTCAAAAACTGCTCATGGAAATGTAAAATAGTATTATCACTTTGCAGACCAGTTGATAATTTCTTAAAAAGTTAAACATGCTCATATCATATAATCCAGTTATTATAGTCTACTCCTAGGTATCAATTCAAGAGAAATTAAGCAAATGTTCATTTAAAAAAATTCACATTAGCTTTATTTGTATAGATGCAAATTGGAAAAACCCTAATGTTTATCAGTAGTTGGTATAATCATATAATGGAACAAACTAAAGTACACTGATACATGCTATGACATGAATGAATCTAAAAATAATTATTCTGAGAGAAATACAAAAATGAGTATATACTATATGATGTGATTTATATAAAATCTTGAATATTTATAGTCACATTAAGCTCATCAGCAGTTCCTGGAAATGGGTGGTGGAGGGACAGTGAAAAGAAAGATGGGCATTAGGGATTACAAAGGATCAAAAGAAAACTTTTGGAGATGATAAATATGTTAATTATTTCAATTGTGGTAATGACTTTACTTGTGTAAACATACATCAAAACTCACCATTTGTGTATAATAAATATGTACAGCTTATTGTATATCAATTATACTCTAATAAAGCTGTTATAAAAATAAAACTCCTTGTTACTTCTGGAAGAAGAATGGAATAAAATAGCATTCTGAGCAAAGACAATCCTCATCTTATCAACCAAAGCTAAAGCAATGATTTTAAAAGCTGTATTTCTTCTCAAATACACTGGAAAGCCTGAATCTCTTCTCCTCTCATAATAGTACTTTGTACTCTCTCTTAAATTATATATACTTTCCCCTCCCCTGCTTTTTCCTGCATCTAACAGCAACTTAATACTGTAACTATTCTTATAAATCATTAAGATGTTAACAGCTGCAATTCAGCAGTGGCAACAGTTTTCCCAAGTGAAAAGGCAATGAGAAAAAAAAACCCTTATTTTTAATTAAACTGTATACAAGTATCACAGATATGTCATTTACAAATTTATTCTAAATAAAGTAAAAGAAAAATGACTAATAAATAGGAAACATAGTGGCATATCAGAAGGAAGGGAAGCTAATAAACAAAATTTCTCCCAAGCTCAAAAACATTTATGCATCTCCTTTTTTAGTTATTATTGATTTTTATTTCAATTCCTCATTCACTCTAAACTCTTTTTTTTTTTTTACTTTACAATATTGTATTGGTTTTGCTATACATTGACATGAATCCGCCATGGGTGTACATGTGTTCCCCATCCTGAACCCCCCTCCCACCTCCCTCCCCATCCCATCTCTCTGGGTCATCCCAGTGCACCAGCCCTGAGCACCCTGTATCATGCATCGTTGAAACATGTTAATTATATGTGAAATGAATCACCAGTCCAGGTTCAATGCATGACACTCTAAACTCTTATAGTCAACTTCCATTTCTTGTTGGTTCACTATACCAACCACTCAGCACAGAGGAATGGAAGTGTGAATCAGCAACTGCAAAGCAGACCTGGCTCTGGTAGTAACTAAGTTGTAAGACCTTAGTCAAGACACTAACCTGGTCAGCTTCACTTTTCCCATTAACAACTGAAAACACTGTCATATACAAGGATGTTTTCAAGTCTATGGGTCACTTCATCTGTCAATTCCAGTCAAGTTATTTTTCATTAATGTTCTTAATCTCTGAGGAACCTCATTACTACCCCCACTAAGGCCTCAATCAAAGCATCTCTTGTCTTTATAAAGTATCTTGTGCTAACTGGCAATAAAGGAAAGTTAAAGAGGATATGCTTAGTTTGGCTAGAAGGTTCTGTCAAGAAGACTACGGATTTGGAAGGAAAGGCTTTTAAATTGCTTATTCTTTTGTGCATAAACATATCCAATCACTCCATGCTTCCGGATACATGTGCACACACCATATATAGCCCAAATACTTACCCCAAGGCTTCCCAGAGCTGTGTGTGCCATGTGCTCAGCTGTGTCCAACTCTTTGCAATACCATGGACTATAGCTTGCCAGGTTGCTCTGTCCATGGAATTTTCCAGGCAAGAATACTTGAGTGTGTGGTGCCATTTCCTGCTCCAGGGGATCTTCCTGACTCAGGGATGGAACCCATGTCTTTTGTGTCTC